TATTTATTTATTTTACCATCTGTCAGCCTGGTGCTGCTTTATGGCGAGAAAAACTGAAGGTGGGGTCAAAACAAAACCGCACATTATTGTCCAACTGTTCAAAGTTAAGAATCCACAGCTCCAATTTTACCGACTGTGCCCAAAACAACATGATCATTGCACTTAATCTTCACTAAAACAAGTGTATAAACAGATTAAATATCACTAGGGCTGTCCCGATACCAGTTTTTTCAAGACTGAGTACAAGTACGAGTACTTCAGTTTAGGTACTCACCGATACCGATACCAAGTAGCGGGGTTCATGTGGATTATCTGTTCAACTTGTTGAATATTAAAGAGAATGAAAATGAAATGCAATTATCATGCAAAAATTGATGGGTAAATATTATGTTTGACAATAAAAATGTAGTGCAAACTCTGACAAGTAGATAAGTTGGTATATACTGTATATCACACCATAACTTTTGAAACCATTTATTTTATTTCAAACAGGCTCTTTTTTACAAGGCCACACTCCCTCTGAATGTACTAACAATACAAATACTGCAAAACAAATGCTGTTGCATACATTAAAAAAATAAGTTATTTTTTATACATTTTCCTCAACATGCAACTACCAAATTTAAATTAAAATTTAAACTATAACGTAAATTTTAGCAGCACATCTATAGAAGTTTACTCTGCTTCAGTCTTAAACTGTTAACAAAGAAAATGACTAATAGTAATAAAGTGCAGTAAATTTCAGTTCAAACTTAAATGGAACAACTAAAACAAAATCTCAGAAGAACCAGAGGGAAAAATAAAATGCTTTTACAACAAACTTCCTTCCATATTCTGCTTATGTCTTAGTTTGTTCTACAAGAAAGAAAAAACAGCATTGAAGTTACTGTAACAACTGCTGCATTCAGTGCTGTTTATGAAGGCTACTGCTAGCAGCAGCAAACTCTTTGAATTCTTTGTCATGTCTTGTCCTCAAATGTTGAATCAAATTGCTGGTGTTAAACATCCAACATTCGCTCCTCCCCTTGACAGTTTAGCAGAGCACAGCAGACAGTCTGCTTGTTTGGTGTCCTCCGTGCCGATCTTAAAGTATCTCCAAACTGCCGACATGTTACCTCTTCTTCTACCGTCATCGTTCTTCTGTTATTCGGGGGTGCGGTCGGAAAWAACTTGTCAGTGCATTAGCGCCACCGCCTGGTATGGATTGTTGTTTACCCTTTGTGCTGCAGCGCAGCACAGGAGGGGACAAAAGCGGTATCGGTTAAGAGTATCGGCCGGCTTTTACGAGTACGAGTATGAGTACTTGATGCTGGTATCGGACCCAATACCGATACTGACTCCTTTGTTTAATTTAGAGTTACGTACTTTAAAACAAGCGTGTAGATATTCACTAATATTTAAGAATCTACCCTTGAGTGATAGCCTGCTAACCTACAAGGAAGCCCTTTGTAAAGTTAGAACTGTATCTTATAATCATTACTAATTGAATTTCATAATGCAATGTGAATGTTTTTGCACAGTGTCATGAGATGACTTTTATGGTGAATTGGAACTATATAAACACACTGAACTGAATAAATTGAATAACATCTGGCTTTGGAGAGTAACAGGAATGTGTTCACTCAGCAGGAATTTATCTGCTTTGGGTTTGATCAGCATCAAAGGGAAAACAATCCGGAGCTCTCACAAATTTCTGCTGAGGATGCACAGCTTGATGCTGGTAAAGTGTTCAGAGATCACTTTTTTCCTTTACAGAAACACATGCTTACTGTTACATCTCACATGACAGCAACACCCCAAAGAAAACAAAAAACTGAGATAAATCAACTTTAACTTTCTGCTAGATAGGTTTTGGTTCCAGTGTGGGGCTCACATCTGTTCAATAGAAAACTAAATAAATAAACAAGCCTAATTATCTCAGAAAGTCTGCTAATTACAAACTGTGGTCCATGACAGCATGAAGAATTCAAAAGCCACAAAGATTTTCTCAGGAATGTAAAAGATTATTTCAGCCTTGTGACTTAACTTTCACTAATGTCTAAAATAAGGTAGATTAGCTAAATCAAGCTGGTCCTCCTTGGCAGTGTAAACAGATGTTAGAGCTGCCAAGAGTAACAATACTTTCTGCAAAATCTTATAAGTGCATTTCATCCCCCAAAAGGCGCAGTGGCAGAGCCAAGGGGTGACCAATGGTGCCTTTTAAAAAATAAAATCTACAAAGCATACTTTCCTCAAAGGATGATGAGGGTGGCTGCTGGTTTACATACGTTGCTTATTTTTCAAGCTTGTACATATGGCAGGAGCAAACATGGATTTTGACAAGTCAACACAATTTTTTCATGGGGATCTTTCCTAAGCCTCCCACACTAGGGCTGCAACAACCAATCGATAAAATTGATAAAAACTGATTATTAAAAGTGTTGGCAACAAATGTCATTATGGATTTGTTCTGTCGGACTGTTTCTGATAGCATTAATTTAATGATTAGGCTTTAAATTTTAACACTTGCCTTACTTGTAGGGCTGTGTATTGGCAAGAATTTGGCGATACGATACATATCATGACAGAGGGGTCACGATACGATATATCCCGATAGATTTCAATACTGTAAACAAGGCGATATATTGCGATTTTTTTTGGTCCAAAAATTCTATTAAATAACCTCTTACTGGGAAAAAAAAACAAAAAACAAAATGAAAAACCAAAATTCATTGTCTCAGAAAATTCTAATATTACATAGACATACTTTTGATACATTTAGCTGTGTTCTGCTTTGTATGTG